CCCTAGCTACAATATCACGGTGACGGCCACCGACAGAGGGCGTCCACCGCTGTCCACGAAAACTCACATCTTACTGAACGTCGCAGACACCAACGACAACCCACCCGCCTTCTCTCAAGCCTTCTACACCGCCTACATCGCAGAGAACAACCCCAGAGGCGCCTCTATAATCTCCGTGACAGCCCACGACCCCGACTATGGAGAGAACGCCCAGGTCACGTACTCTCTGGTAGAAGACACTGTCCAGGGAGCTCCCCTGTCCTCCTACATCTCCATTAACTCGGACACTGGAGTCCTGTACGCGCTGTGCTCCTTCGACTATGAGCAGTTCCGAGACCTGCAGCTACAAGTGATGGCACAGGACAGTGGGGACCCTCCATTCAGCAGCAACGTGTCCCTGAGCCTGTTTGTGCTGGACCAGAACGACAACACGCCAGAAATCCTATACCCTGCCCTGCCCACTGATGGTTCTACTGGCGTGGAGCTGGCACCCCGCTCCGTAGAGCCCGGCTATCTGGTGACCAAGGTGGTGGCAGTGGACAGAGACTCAGGCCAGAACGCCTGGCTGTCCTACCGCCTGCTGAAGGCCAGCGAGCCAGGGCTCTTCGTGGTGGGGCTGCACACGGGAGAGGTGCGCACTGCAAGGGCCCTGCTGGACAGAGACTCGCTCAAGCAGAGCCTGGTGGTGGCTGTTCAGGACCACGGCCAGCCCCCTCTCTCTGCCACAGTCACACTTACTGTGGCCGTGGCTGACAGCATCCCAGATGTCTTGGCAGACCTAAGTAGCCTTGAGTCTCCCGCCAACCCTGAGGACTCTGGCCTTACACTCTACCTGGTAGTGGCAGTGGCCGCCGTCTCTTGTGTCTTCCTTGCCTTTGTCATCATGCTGCTGGCACTCAGATTGAGGTGCTGGCACAAATTGCGCCTGCTTCTAGGCTCCGGGAAGCGGGTTTGCAGGCGTGCCCGCTTCCCACTTTGTGGGTGTAATGTGGTGCATGCATTCCTGCAGAAGTATTCCCATGAGGTCTCTCTCACGCGGACTCCGGGAAGAGTCCCCTGATCTTCTCCCAGCCCAACTATGGGGACACTGACGGCAATGAGAGAGCTGCGGAAAAGAGCAACCCCCTATTGTATCAGGAGATCCAGCGTTTTCTAGAGTAAAATGGATACTAAGATGAAAAGATATGGAATACACACCTCATACTAAGTAGAAAATACCCTTACATAGTGAGGAGTAGGATGAGGATCTACCTCAGTGAGACGACAAAACTATAGGATAAGTACATATTTTTTTTTTTTTTCTTGTATTTTTGTCTTCATTTTTATG